GTAACTGTTTGACGAGACAGTCATAGTGCTCCAGTTTTTAATATATGCTATTTTAAAGCTATTGTTTATTTGAGTATAAATTTCTCATTTCTATTCAATATTTTTAACCTAATTGTACTAAAACAAAACATTCGACAAATTGATTGGAAAAGCACATTGCATAATTTTCACGTGGCATAAAATAGCGTTCAAAGTGTTATAGAACCAGTTTTGTTGTTTATAATTATATAAATATGTATGATTTTTTTTAACAACGTAGCATGAACACATATAAATTACACATACACACTCAAACCAACAAGTCATGGATCATACAAAATGCTTTTCTATGTGGAAAACAAACCAACTATACATTGCACAAAAGTTTACTGCCTAGTCACTGTGCTAACAGTCAATATAGTAGTTATGAAAAAAAAAATATTTGTTCCGGTGTCGACAATATTGCAGAGCACGATAGTATTATCCATAATTTTACAATGTGATTCTGTGTAATGAAATTGTTTTCAAATCACCCATTTCAAATCAATTGTTCTAATCTAATTTAATCACAATTTGTCTAGCCGTTTAGGATATGAACAAATAATACATAATTATGTATACATTTAGAAATAATAACAATGAAGTTCTCAAACATTGAACCGTTTGTATAGAATTTGTTCGATACAAGTTTAACGAGTTTAAGTGACTCAACTAAAGCCTGATAGCCGATAGGAAACGTTTCATACTCAGTCACGAACTGTGAGCAATTGACTTCTTGGCCAGCGATGGAGGCTCCATTCATCTCACACAATATAAGAAAAGACGTAATCATGTCTAGAGAGGAATCACGTTCAACGAGCGACAACGCCGGAATTCCGTCTAGCCCGGCATCCCCTGTAGTCTCCGTTGTAGATAATTTTCTTTACAAAAAGAAACGGATTTCTTGCTTACGGTTTTTATAAATTAGGGTCGGCGCATTTTATCACGTTTTCCAATTTTCCTCCAACGTGTACGAGATATTAGTCAGTTATTTTCAATTAAATTATTCTTTGTTGTCTGTAGACATACACATATCAATCCTTTGTAGTTTCATTTGAAACGCCTTGTGTTAAACCGGATAAGTTTCTCAGTAACTAACTGCTGTAGTAACTGTAGTACTCAACTAATACTTTGGAGTTTGTTATAACTTGACTGAAAGAAACAGAAAATCAGTCTAACTATAGGATGTTCATTGTTCAGTTTTGAAATAGCCTAAACCTACTTACTGTAGAACCTTTTTTCAAACTTCCTAGATAAGCCTAAGATAACCTATATGTGCATGTTATATATCAAATCCGACTAACAAGTAAAAGTAAAAATGTTTAAATGAAACCGTATTGTTCTTTTTGTTTCAATATGGCCATTGAGTACCAATATTGATGGTGAAAGGATCACGTATATTTCGCTAACAGTCTATATTGCCAGTTATCTATCAAAAACAAAATCAATAAACGCTACAAAGCAAAATACTATCGGCTTATTTTTTATGTCGAAACACTACACTGGGCGCCTGCAATATAGGGATAAAACGTATCCCATGCGCTAATCCAAAGCCAGTGGCCTCGATTGGCCATTATTCCATATTGGACGAAATAACTAAAAATATATTTAATATCAGTAAAATTCGTTTCAAACAGTGATACTGAAACTATTTAGCGTAGAGGCATTAAAGTTCATTTAATTATTTATTTATTGTTAATAGGATGGTGTTTGGCCTCCTACTCGCCTGGCGGGCAAGGTTACCTTTTTGAGACTTTTTGTAAAATGATTTAACGAAAATATGATCTTTACAAGTTTCATTTTTTAACTCTGATATTCCTATATTATTAGAACTATATTACTAATATATAAGACTATATTTTATACTGTAATTCCTGTTCTTTATTATGTTGTTGAAAGATTGGACCTCTAATAATACACTTGAAAACTCGCAACTGCTGTAGTGCTTCATGCGTACTCAAATAACATTTTCAAACATTAATATCACTGTCGGAGCTTGTTATGACTTGACTGAAAGACACAGAAAATCCAGTTAAACTATGGGATGTTCATTATTCACTATTGAAATAGCCTAAATCCACTGTTGAATCTTTCTCAAGCTTCCAAGATAAGCTCGAGTCGTTACGGAGTAAGACATTTAAAGATAAAGAAAAAGTTTTAGATTCGAATTCGGCAGATGTTGCAAAAAGACATTTCGAAAGTTAGTGCAGTTCACGATGAACGTGAATGCCCCAAGTCCACCCGCTTGACTCCAAACAAGGAAAGAGTTTACATAGCTTCGAATAAAAATAAAACTTTTCTTAAAAGAACAGAATCAAGAGAATGATTGTATTTGTCCACCATGATTAGTATTAACGACAATATCAGTTAACACAAATTATTATAATTTGAATAGTACATAATTATACTTATATGTGTCGTTTAAATACTTTTCGATTATGAAACATATATGTTATCACTGATCTTGGAAATATCACCAAATAACATGCGAATACAGAGGATCCGAATTTGAGCGCCATTTCTTCAATAACATCCAACTCGATGATATACTCTAAAATATTTATGGTTATTTACTGTAAGCTATTATGTTTTTCTGCAAATATTTTATTCATACGAAGATTTTTTGTTAGATATGACTTAAGTGTAAGTAGGACCGTAGAAACTAAATACACTCATACATTATTTGAAAAGATTATTATCTTCTATCTCCTATGTGAAGATGAATTATTTTTTCTTCACTACATATACCGCATAACAGATTACACTATTACCTAGGTAAGACTTACATAAACGGTAAAATTTTGGTTGTTAAATAGGAAAGTAGGCTTATGACGCGATATGAAATTGCAATGAGGCGACACTCTTGCCGAGGGTGAGCGAGTCTCAACAAATCCTACGATAACGCCTTCATTACCCACACGTCAACCCTCTTCTCCGTGCGTCTTCGTCACCGCTTCAATCTTTTCGCGGATATTACTCTTAAATTATGACAAAAGCTTCAGTTTGGGAGCTGCATAATGAATCCCTACTAGTGATGAATGGATCACACCATTCATCATCATTTTCCATTGACATTTTGATTAAAATAATCGTGTAGATGACGAACACTTTACTGTGTTTGTTTTATTTATTCAAATTCTTGATGCTGTTACGTATTCTAGTTAAATACTTTATTTACATACTCATTTAACTATTTATATAAAGACACTAGGGTCTTTAGGTAGATATATTTTTGTTCCAATTTTCAAAATAAATTATACCCGATGTGTACGTTGTCCAAACTTATTAGCTATACAGCAAAATAGTTTCATGCTAATTCGTCCATTAATAGCGGAGATTAGTGTGCAAAAATAATTTTGTTTTCTTGCTTTGTACTTACTTTATTTTGCTATTTACATATGACTTTATGATTAATTCTTTTTAAATAGGTACATTTAACGTGCAGATATAATTTTATGTGATAATTTAATGTGGTTAAAATGAGTTGAGGGATAATCCAAAGCATTTAATCTACGGAATATTTAGTTTATCCTCTATTTCCCACTAAAATATAATGCCACCGATAGTTTACTTACAACGTGACACTATAAGCACGTCAGTGTTTTTGTTTCATCTCACATAGAATGGAAACTAAACTTTGAGTGCTTACAATATGTTCACTTTAATTTAAATGTATCATGTTTATGTTGAAATTGTATTATGAACCCTATCGATTTTACACAGAATCCTTGTTGTGCGGATTAGCCAATACTTTGTTGTAGTAATTAAAATATATATTTATACATATATACGGGACTGTAATATAAAATACTCTAATTTTAAAGAAAACTCAATAAGATTTTCGAAATTGATTACGATTACGAAATATTGAAATCAACTCGACTAATAGTTTTTTCGTCAGAAATAATAATATTTACCTCTAGAAATACACATGTAACATTACAAAATGTGTAAAAAAGAAAGCGGTAAATAAAAAAAAATATTTCAGTAAGTACATAAAATCGCAGTATTTCAGAGAAAATGATAATCGAGAATGTTATTATTATTTAGACATTTATCAAAAAGTAATATAATCGTTATTCCTATTTTTCATAATCGTTAACATACGATATTTTGTAGAACCCAGATTGCCTAATTTATGCACCCATCATTTTTTAACTGCTCAGTTTCCACTATTGCTGCAATAAAGATAAAAAGTTTGTTTACTAGCAACGGTACAACTACCTGTAGATTATAGAAACATTTATTTATCGTAGTTCAGCAAATGATCGTTTAGCCAGTGCACCGACCGCGGCGTAAAATTAAATCATCTTTCGAAGCCTTTTACCTGCAGAATCTAGGCGGTGTTTACATAAATCTATAAAGTCATAAATCAAGTAACGATGTTTACTCCGAACGTAGCAATAAACTTGATATAAAAGACAAATAAAATCTAAGGATATGATTATACTTGAAACTCGCACAGAACTTGTAAATAAAACTTATTAAAATTTTCACAATAATACGCTTCTTATTATGTACCTCTACCAAAAGTGTTATAAAATATTTAGATCAAATATGTATTGAAAACACCGTTGTATTAAATTCCCATGAACACTTTCGTTGAATGAGAGTAACATTAGAGGTATGTGTAAAAATGTTTTCTAAACCAAAAAAGTGTTTATAAGTAATTGCCTATATTTCTACCTGTAAAAAAGCCCTACTAATGAAATAAAGATTTAAAAAAAATAGGGATAATTATTGGGAAACCTTTTATTTTAAAAGATGTTGATTAATTGAAATGAAAATAGTTGATTTTTTTTTCACACATTCTGTTTCAATCAATTCTTTGGAAAAATATGGTTCCTAAGTTGAAAACGGTGCGGCGCGGCGTTCTATTACTTTTACTTAACCATGACATGACACACATTGGGCCACCGCATTAACTTAAAAAATCTGCCAAAAATGTTTCCAACACTACAATTTCTTTAACCCATTTGTAGGTTTACTGCGTCTGCAGCAGCTGTACCAGAGCCTGCAACCTGGCAAGGCATCGTTCCGCATAACAAACGTGAAACGAGTGTCCAATGCATCCGATGTTGTGGAGTTTCTTCGTGCTATCGAAAAACTGGACCGCTGGAGCAACAAATATGTTGTACTTGATTCTACCACTCAGCTTGCAAAAGCCGCACTAATTATGCACGTACGGGATGTGCACCTTGGCCGTAGGAACTATCATTACTTCCTAAGCGGACTGGTGAGTAATCCCCGAGCTCATTGTTGGAAAGCTAATCGTAAAATTTTAAGATCTCGACTTTGCATGTGTATGTAACAATAAGCGAAGTTGCAAAGTAACAGAGAGACTTTCAGCTAAATCAGAGAGACTTCATCAATTCTGAGAAGAGAAATACGAATAATGTACCTACTACTTTCGTACGATGTTGTTTTCGTTGTTTGCCGCGTGTAGTTTCCTTTTCTCCTTTATCGTGGGAGTGTTAACAAACATAAACAGTCGCATACAGTTCCTGGCCATAATATTAGACGCACCCTCATTTTGTTGAATATTAGTTAGATACGTTCATTTTCAATACTTTTTAATCAAATCGATTACATTTTATGAATTATATATACAATGTCAATTTATTCATGGAATTAATATTATAAAACTGAAGAGTTTAGTTACTGTTAATTTCCGGAACTTCTGAATTGAATTGAAAAAATTCTTAGTGTTGGATAGTTCATTCGTCGACCAGTTATTAAACCCATAACACATTACGCTACTACAACAGAAGCCGAGCAGAGATCGCGCGGGTCTAGTTAGTCTTTTTTTATGAACGTTAATCTGTTTCAATCGCTTTCAGCTTCGCTCGGCTCCTGTTGGACGCATCGTGATATTTTATCATACAACCATACAAACAAAAAAAAATACAAACCAGTAGTTGCGAAGATAATCGCGTTTAAACAAAGTTTTCAATTTAATAAAGATAATTTTAAGTGTTGATATAAGAATTAATTAACACTGTAATTAATAAATACAATACTATAAATCTCAATAAAATACATAACAGTTCTATGTTTTAATGTATAAGTACTGAATATAACCAGTGTGCACTCATTTAAATGAATTATAAATTAAAATAAAAACGAGAGTGCGTCTAAACATGTGGCCAGAGATTGTACACATCATACCCAAACTTGAAATAACAATTTGTGGGTCATTATATTTTCCTCAAGTAGGTATAGGTTAATAAATCTAAGCGTTATTTTAATCAATATAACATAAGCCCGAATTCTGAAAGGCTACTCAATTTTAAAGTTGTACTTAGATATCGTTTCATCTGTGCCATTTTACAAAGAATATACAAGGTGTTGTTTTAAAGCCGCGTCATTTTCTAGGAGGTAACTCGGCTATCGATTCTGAGTACGAATCAATAAAAAAAAAATGTAGGTACATATTTTTAATTTTTCTGTAAATTACGGAAACCCATTAGTGCGAACTACACGCCGCCGTCTTGTAACTAGTTTTATAACGCGGCTTAACACACACAAACTCAAACACGTAATTGATATTATTTCTAATTCCATAAAACTCCAATAAGAAACATTGCTGTCGCTTATTCTGAAATACTGTTGAACTTAAACGATTTATTATAGCCGTATTTTTAACTATTGGCTCGAAACTTTCTCTGACATTGAACCTTTATGATTTCTGTGACATGCCCTAGAGAAAGACACGGTTTCAATACTACACTTTGTATAGGGACAGAACTATACTTAACCGCGTCTTAAAATTAAGTGTCGTTCGAGTAATTGGAGAATAAAAACTAGTTTTCATATTATGTATATGAAAATCAACAGATTCCGTTAATTTTAATTACGAATGTTATTTTTACTAAATTAATATAATGATGCAGGTTATGGACGACCGATGGGAGAAAGAAGTTACTGAATATGGTGCTATCAACATCACTGGATTTCGTCTACTAGATTTTTCCCGAAAAGTAGTGCGTGACTTTATTGATGCCTGGAAAAGGGAGACTATTTCCGTAAGTTTCTTATTTCTGTATGTCGAAATTTCAACAATTCATCACTTTCCAATTTACTTCATTGGTCAACGTAACATATTAACAAATACAACTTTTACATTTTTTACTTTGAAATCAAACAAATTAAAAAAAAATAGCTGTCAGGCATTACAATTTTGAAAAAATGGGAATGCGATAAAGAAGAAATGATTTTGGTACATTCATAAAAGCATCATATATGAGCGAGTGTAGAAAAGAATATCGCTTTAAAGTAGATGATGTAAATGTTCGCAATAGAGCAATTTTTCTATTCAGTTACGCCTCTGGAAATCACATCATCCTGTACCTTTCAAAGTTCCTTTAGGTTATAAACTCGTTTATTAGTGCAGGTGTTGCACTAATAACGAGCTTGACTCAATTTTTACTTCTAGTTCGTAGAGTTAACCTCGCCTCGTTAATTGAGTCTCAATTGTGATAGCCGAACACATGTTCTTATTGTCGAACTTGTGACTTTATGGACTGGTTTCGTTACCTTAATCAAGCAACATTTTAATTATTAACCTACATTTAAGATTACATAATTTTTGTTGACATCTGTTATCAGATTTGAACCATAGACTTCGCCAAATAAGGGAATCGTAACATAGCTGGCCAAACGTTTGTGATCTTTTTTATCCATTCTTTCTAGAATTAAAGCAAATTATGAAAGGGTAGTTTAAATTTAAAATATTCATTTCTTGTTAAATAGCGAGTTTGACTAAATTATACCAGATTATACAGTATTCGATGACTTCAGTTGCGTGTTTTTTTTGTTGCAGCTGGTTGTATGGTTTGTTGCTACCGACAGCAGAATATTAAAAAAAACTAAATGTACGTTTTGTTGCAGGCACAGGCTGCTCTTACTTACGACGCAGTGCAGGTGTTAATTGATGCTATCCTTCGCCTGGTACGAAAAAAGCCCGAGTTCGTACGTGCAACCATGCGACGTGCGAGCCAAAATAATACAAACAAATCTATGGACTGTAACCCGAAAAACAAATTTATTCCGTTTGAACACGGCGAGAAGATATCGCGTATGATCAGAAAGGTGGGTACTGTGTCTATCTTGTGGGATAAATCGTAGTACAATACTGCCAATCAATGTAGTAAACCATTCACTGCGCTCTGTATTTCACATAAAATCAGAGCTTATACAACAGCGTATGACATCGCTGCATATAACTGTGAAAATAATACGTATAATATTGTTGCGCAAGTGTAATAAACCTCTATTCTCTGGAGTAATTTTACATTCCCTGTTGCTCATGCGAATGGTTGGTATCAATTCATATATTCAATTATGATTCCGTGCGAATGTTTCGATATTCATGCGTTTTGCATTTTCGTGGTATGAGTACGTAGCGGCATTATGATTTGTGAATATAAAAATTCGTAAAATAGCATTTACATAAATATACGTAGAAGATTGCTTATCAGATACCGGTATAATATAATATTTCAAATAACTATGTGATTTTATGTAGTCGTAATTTAAATATAGCTAGAGTTCAATTAAAGCTAACTTAAAGCATGGTGTGATAAAACGTAATGCCAGTTTTAATTTTATAGGAAAGTGTAAATGCAATGCATTTAGTACGAATAAACTTTTTCTAAACACAAACATAACTAAAGCTGCAATAGCTTATCAGTACTTAGAACAACGATGAGTACTTATTTCTAATACGAATAAGGACAAGCGCTAGAACAATAAAAACGCAAGTAAAATGACATTTTGCTTATAAGACGAGTTTACTTTTCCTTTGTACGAACATAAATTGTAAAAGGAAGTCTCAAGTTGCGGCGGTTGCCGTCATACATTGCTCTGAGCTGGGAGCTGGGAGTGTAGCTTTATTCCTTCAGTCAAACGTGGCGTTGGTAGCGCGCGTTGATAGGTGGCGTGCGGTGCACACTTACCCTACGTCAAAATACATGACTGCCTCTGACATTATTATCTTTAATGTTTTATAACACAAATCTTATGGATATGGTCCCCATTGTGTAATGACCACGATATGTTGGAACCAAATTTTAATTGAACTGAATTACAAAGAACACAGGTGTTGAATACGGTCCGTGTTTTATATCAGAATGCTCAGTGGGTGGGTGAAGGTTCACAGACTGGCGATTAATTAGGTTTCGTTGGGTGACGCGTAATTAACCCTCGCATTCGCTAACTGCCTCGATTCGCCTCACCCGGGATATACGAACCCCTTTGCACTTTTGGACTTCCCTTTCCGGAAAAGTTGTACTTCATTACCAGTAATCATAAAATATTACGGGAACTTGTTTTAAAAATGACGATATTAAAGTGAAGCAAAAGAGTATCCATATCTTGTTTTAGACGGAGATTGTTGGAATAACGGGCAACATACGATTCAATGACATAGGACACCGCAAGAACTTCACGCTTCAAGTTATGGAACTGACCGAAGACGGTGACATGGTAAAGGTAAGATAATATTCAGTCTTGTGAAACCTACAATGCCTGTATACTATCATAACAAATATAACTGTAGATATTAATGGTGGTACGAAACTTTTGTTACGATAAAAAGTGTTTTCGAAAGTTGTCTCGCAGAGATATTGCTTATTTAACGAGATTGTTTCCGAAAGTCATAAATAAGTCCTCGATCTCGCCCCACCAAAGTATAAACATGAATTTTTATAACCTACAAAATATAGAAAAGTATTTGAAGTGAGGTATATAAGTTAGGTATTTGCAAACAACAAATAACTATTATTGATTTTCATTCAATTTTAATTTCTTCTTCTTTCTGTCCTTCTAAGAAAGATAATTATAATTTGAATGTTATTATAATTTTAAATTATCATCAACTTTTCTTGTTATAGCTTTACTTTGTATAAACCAAAAAGATATTGAACTTTACACTTTTCGTCATTGCTAACTATCCTAAACAAACAGGTGGCAACTTGGTCGGATAATAAAGGGTTCGTACCTGTCATCCCTAAGAAGTTGGCCCGTACCATAACTGGAACCTATGATCGCAATAAAACTTATATTGTGACCACCATCGAGGAACCACCCTACATAATACGCAATGACCCCGAAGACCCCGAGTATGACCCCGAAGAACCATTCACTGGATTTTGCGCAGAGCTCACAAAAATGTTGTCTGAAAAAATGGAAATCAACTGTAAGTAGGACGTCCAATCGTCATAATACTTAGCGTTGGATCACAGTCTAGCCCGTAATATTGAGATTAAGACTCTTTTTGCGACTCATTAAGACGTAATTTAATTTAAACTTGAAAGCTCTAAAATTTTTTAATTCTTTTGTGGATTTCGCTAAGTCTGCTGACCTTTGTTCGTATATTCGCGTAAGTACAGTCGCGAACTAAATCCAGACTAAAATAATTGTATTTCTCAAAACTATTACCTAAGGGATTACAGATTCTATATCCAATAGATTCTACACGATTTACACCGACATTTTGCACGTTTAGGTGCAGGTTATTTGAAGTAGCAAACTCAGGAAGTATATTTTGCAAAAAGCCTTTAGGCACGGTCTATATATAGATTGATTTATTGCCGTGTGTTAATCATCTTTCTAGACCCCTGGCCTGATTATCTTAAGCGCTATATAAAAATAATTATATCGAGTGTGGTAGACTGAAACGATTATTTTATGTAACTAACAGACCTAGGCAGCATAATAAAGTAGAGGTATAATTTGTTTTGGAAACGCAGATAAAGTTGCGAGCAGAAGCTAAGTAGTTCCGAATAAAAGTCTGGGACAATATAATATAAATATGTTGAAACCATTATAATGTGCCGCAAACACCATTCGCTACTGTAATTTTTCTTTTACGAGTTTGGCATGACGGTAAAATTGCTCAAGATTCAGACACAAAAATTACACAACATTTTTAGAGGTATTTACTAAACTGCTATCAAAATTGAAACATTTCTCGGTTTCAGTATTGAATGTTTACATTTTACATTATGATATCAAATTATTTCCATAAATAATTTATTAATTATTCATGTGCAATAAGTTTTTAACTTGTCACAGTAGAATAGTGACGGTCCATGTGGTGGCCATGGTCGGTAAAAAGATACCACTGGTTGCTTATGGTTATATTAAATCGTAATGAAATTTATGTAAATGGATACTCAGAACAATAGACAAGAATTTTCCAGCTTCTTTCATCAACAATTCACGCGGGCGAAGTAGTAGGCGTAAGCTAGTCCGAACTAATTGAGGATTTATTTAGTGATAGCAATATCTGCAGTGAAATAAAATAGTTTTTTTTTTCAGATCAAATTAAGGTGGTGAGGGATGGAAAGTATGGCAGTGAAAATCCTAAGGCACCCAACGGCTGGGACGGACTGGTGGGCGAGCTTTTGAGAAAGGTACTGTTCCTATAAACTAACCAACTATTAAATTAAGTAAAAACGCGGGTTACTCACGTGAATATACTGAGAAAAACTCTACTAGTTTCGTACTAGTACTAGTGAGCTGCGCGACGTCGCCGCGACCGCGCACGCTGCTCATGAGGAAGAACCCCTCTGTGGTTCGAAACTAGTAGAGCTTTTCTCAGTATATTCACGTGAGTAACCCGCGTTTACGATAGTTATTATAAAAACATAACCAACTATTACAACAAATGATTCTATAATTGATATGTTCTACATATTATAAATAATTGTTACTTACGTGATTTGAAATAACACAATGGTCATAAATTAAAAACACAATTTAATGCATCCGATTGGATGTAATTAAAGTTGTCAAAAGTTTTAATCAAAGAGGTATTAATGTACGGTATTAAAGTGTCGTAATTTCAATACTCAACGTAAATTTTACTCTGTTGTGCGAGAAAAATGTGTCAATGCTTATTTAAAGTTTTAAACGCACCGTTTTTCCGTTGCCACAATCCATGTTGTGACAGTATGCGCTTTAACATTTTGTATAATTCCACGTATTGGACCTGTGGGATTATCTTGCTTAAAAATTACTATTATTGGACGAAGCCATGGTTTTAAAACTTAATATTCAGAACCGTAATTTGACACAACAAAATTTGTCTAAAAGGAGTTCATTATGGAGTCTTGATAAAAGAACTTGGCCTCCTAGTAGTTTTTCAACTTAAAATAGAATTCAATATTAGATACATCGAATTAAATCATTATTACAATATGTCCAAATGATAACATAATTTGTAAATCATTCGAATGTTAAATCTCTCGCTTCCAATATCTTATGTTTATTCCAAGTGAATAGAAAATATCAGAACCAAATAACTAAATTGGAAAAATATCTCAAGTTTCGTACTTATTAGTGCTTATACGGACATACAATTGGTTCTTTGCATATCAAAGCCGGCTTTATTATAGACATGACTTGGGTATAAGATGATTCACGTGCACAAGATAAAATCGAGTCTCATATTTCTTAAGTACCTATTGACTGGAATTCTATTTATTTCAACGAATACAGACAACGTTATAAAATTTATTTCAATTGTGTATAACAAAAAACCGCTTCTAAACATCAATAAAATATTTTAAAATAAAATACGAGTGTTTCTCTATATGTCAGTCTTTTAATACAGCTATTTGGTTGAGGTAATGTTGAAATTCTCAAGGAGAAGAAGGTGATGACACAATAATCATGATTGTGTCTTCACCTTCCTGTCATCCCGGTAAAGCGCGATATAAGTAGGCCCCAATAATAGGTCGTATTTGTACCTGCTAATAAAGTGAGAAATCGGTTCCCTATGCATAAAAAATTTAAGGCCTAATATAATTTGGAAATGACAAAAGTATCGTCGCTTCGCTTATGAAAATATGAATACGCCAATCCACCTTGAGCAATCGTGGTGTAATTCTCAAACCCTTTCTGTGTGAGAAGAAGCCTTTGGTCAACCATGGCCACTATTTTTTTTTAAGGGGGAAAATCATCGAATGGCTGCTCCCGCCTGGGTGAGACGGGAGGGAGTGTCAGACTCTTACTGACTTAAAACCACCCCGTTTCTACTCCTGCATTTCGAGCCGGAGCCCCGGTAATCCGTTAGGTTCTCCGCGACTCCGTATCGGCATCAGCCCTATTTGGCCCCATCTGTGGTGGTCTAATGGCTTTTTTGAGGCGCGCCTTACGCTCGGGTCTCGTTTTGATTGGGCGGCGCGCCACCCATACTCGCCGTCCGCAGAACCGCGCTTACGGTGGCTGGAGATTGTCTAGCGATCCCCGACGTCCGGAGTGACCTCGGTTCGCAGCCTCATCACCTCCTCCTTAGCTAGCATGATTGCTTCGCAATGGGAGGAGACAGCAACCCAGTCCCTCAAGCTCCGCATCATGGCCCGCACTAGCGCCGGACGCAAGAGGTCGCCGATTACATCCCTGAGGGCACGGCAGTGCTCAGCCCACGCAGGGTATATATACTTTTAATGTGTGTTCCACCGTGTCCTCAGGGCGGTCCTCGCAGTGATGACACCCGGGCGATTCCTTCCGCCCTTTCAGACACAGGTAACTCTCATGTCCAGTGAGGGCCTGCGTCAGGCGGTAGGTGAGAACGCTGTAGCGTTTCTCAAGCCACTCCTCAAAGAGGGGACTTACCACTGCGATGGCAGCGATCCCAGCCCTCGGTTGCGACCGTCATTGCTGCCATTCCGCCATGAGATCGCGCCGAAACTCTTTCCGCCACGCACTAATCTGGCACGGCAGTGGAGTGGCGACGTGCCTCTGCGCGCAGTCTGAATACGCGCGCGAGCACCTTCGCCTCCAGATCCCAGCGCGGTAATCCGGCAAGGAGGTTCGCCGCCTCCCCGGAGATCGTTCATTCGGATCGCCATGACCTTCTGTGATGTAAGCAGCGCCCGAGCGAGCCGCCGCATCAGGTTCGGCGCCCACACAGGGGCGCCGTACAGAGCCATGGACCGCACGACCCCGGCGTATAATCTCCGGCAGGAGGCATTTGGCCCCCCCAGGTTGGGTAGAAGGCGCTTAAGTGCCGCACCCCTCCTCTCCAACTTTGGAGCCAAACGTCCGAAGTGCTCAACGAAGTTCCACCGACTGTCGAGGACAAGTCCCAAGTAACCCCTTCCGCCGTTATTTGGGACTCACCCGGAGGAAGCGCGATCCCGCGGCCATAAAAACACATGGCCTCGGACTTGTGGAGCGCCACCTCGAGTCCCAGTAGCCGGATTCTCTCAACAACTGTCGCAACCCCTGTCGTCATTAAGTCGGCCGCCGCCTGGTGCGACCTCCCATGCGCTAGCACTAGCGTGTCGTCGGCGTAGCATGTAATGCTAACGCCGCCCGCGAGGTCGGTGCCGTGGCCACCGTTAGGTTGTAATATGAACATGTACGCCATGTACATATAATATGTACATATATATGATATCAGTATTCCCGAGAAGTACTCGATATTACTAGTGGAATTTATGTATATTGCATGCAATGTCGTACATAGTTCTTATTGTTCTGAACATTTAATATTTTGTCAAGCGTCTGATTACCGAGGTTGACTTACAACTAAACAACAACACTTTTACCTAGGTTTGCATTTAGTACTAACTATACCTTGTTGTCCTATTCTTGTTGTCAAAGTCTTAATTTTGTAAATAGCTGGAGAGCCACCGCCGATATTGACGTTAGTTAGATGTCAAACTAGAATTGAGTCCGGTGGGATTTACTTTGATTTAAACCCGGACTTAAAGTTACCTGTAGCCGGTCGAAATAATTGAACCAACTTTTACTTTACAAACATAATGCAAGTTTTTACGATGAGGCTTCAGAAAAGTGGTCAAAGTAGTCTCGGTGTAGGGTTCGGAAGAAAGTAAAGTTTCATTTTTGTTGTGCGTTTTTTAAATAAACTTCTTAGGTCATGATCCCTAAAATGTTGTTCAAAATCTTATCTATTTATTGAGCAAAATTCTGGTTAAAGTACTGGAAGACTATAGACTAGACATGTTTTCGTTGAAAAATGTTAATAGTTTCATCGAAATGGAATCTAAGCCACTTGATAAATTCTCCGTATAATATTTATATTATAACTCTCGTAAGACATCCTAAATTCATTATTATATTTTTCGGCTTACTTAGTAGCAGCGCGCGGCCGGCCGTGTCGTGCCGTGGAATGCTGCTTATGAATATGAGCAGATGAGCATCGCTTGAAACTAGTCGAGTTCCTCGTCAAATAATTATTCGTATAATAACCGGTTTTTTATACAGACATAACCTATAAATATTTTGCGAACTCACAAATCAAAAATCCTATCTGTTTCCCCCTTTTTAGATAGTTTCAGATTTCGGAATATAGGTTATATTAATGCTAGCTAGGGTAGGGGTATGATTTTGGATTTACAAAATTTTCAGTAGATCTCATTCTGGGTATTCTAGTAAAGCAGTGATAAACTGCTCCAAAAATGGTGCATTCATCTCTAAAGTCACCTTCCAAGTCACAACATAAAAAACGCCGTTAAAATTTTTTAGAAGGCCAGTTCTAAATGTATTTTCAGATTTAAAGCTCGCCTCGGAGTCATAAGTGACTTTGCAAAATGAACTTCGATAAAGTGGCAGGCGTAAAAATTAACAGCCAAAAAATAAATACATATTTTGTATATCATGAATTAAGACTAACAAGTGTTTTGGTAAATTTATCGCTTACAAAATGCATAACGATGAGTTTAATTTTCTGAGCCCAGTGGCTTATAATCCGTGGGGAGCATGGACCGAGAATAGGTTGGCGTCGTTATCTAGTAGCCAGTGAGCAATAAATATCTTTGTAAAATCCCGATGTCCCTGCAGCGTTATTCCAAAGCCTGCTATTGCCAATCCTCGGTACACCGTGAACTCCAATTTGTGAAATCAAATTAAATCGTTCGTATCTAAAATATGGTTCATTAAGGGTGAGAAGCAAATATTTTGCACGTGGGTTTTTGCTTATTTTAATTATTTTACATGAATAAAATTAATACTTACTTATTACATAATAGTAACAATAGTTTATTACGCTATCAGTATATAAATATCTGTAGTATATAAATAATGTTACGAAGCCGAGCAATGTATTTTTGATAAACTCTTTAGACAAAAACTGGCGAATGGGTTTAGTGAAAATTGACCGCTGTGATAACTTTCGATCCCAGTAAAATGGGCAAAGCCGCAGGCGAACGCTAGTGATTAATATGAATTGATTTGACAGTAACAGCTTTGGTCGTCGCAGCGTTTTTCTTTCTACTGAAGCGCGAATCTTGGATTTTTATATCTCCACCTATAAGTACGTACCTATCTATGACCTACTTGTTTGTATGGATAACCAAGCACTTTTCAAACGTTATTAAAGTGGTTAGTACTGATACTTACATTTTATAATTCTAGTCGTTTTTGTTTTCGTTTTATTCATGCACATAAGCCATGAGCAGTTGTTTGCAACTATTAATACATAAAAGAAACATTTAATTCTTTACTTTTATCAAAATAAAACTAGTTTTTTACCATTACCTGTCGACGTTTTTCAGGAGCGTTCCGTTTATATAATATTTTTATGAATCTATCTAAAATGTAACATAAGAACCGATAGGTACCTATCATTTCTTATGTTACGTTTTTATCAAAGGACTTACTTCTGGAGTGTGAATGACCTTTGAACGTGAAGTACTTCCAAATGCTGTTATGAAAATGTACCTACATTCTCGGAATTTTAAATTGATCGGAACGTGTAACACTACGTGGAGAGTGTCTATAGGTACTTGGACGACAATAAAAGCAACGAGAACCATTTTGCTTTTAAAAATGTTAATGTTGCACCTATAACGACATTAGCTAATAGTTCACTGGTACTATGATGTTGTTTTGTACTGTTTGGCCATTCATGAAAATTTCTCCAAAGGCATACGACAATCGCCAAGTGCATTGCTATTTTAGACGGAAATAAGCGATGCAATCAATACACGTCATTGTCAGTATTACTTTTGCAGCGGTAAGTCTCCTCATTGAGGAGTGGCTTGAGAGACGCTACGGCGTCGTCACCTAACGTCTGACACAGGTGCTTACCGAACACGGAAGTTTCGGTAGTTTCCTGTTTCGGATTGGGCGGGAGGAAACGCCCGGGTGTCATCACTGCGAGAACTGTCCGGATACAGTGGCAGTGTGCCCTGCGTGGGCTGAGCACCGCCGTGTCCTCAAGGATGTGATCAGCGACGGCGACCGCTCGCGATAGGCCCTGGTTCAGACCAGGTTATGGAGCGGGGGACTGGGATGCAGTCTCCTGCTTCTGCGAAGCAGTCATGCTAGCTAAGGAGGTGGCGGGGTGCGTGAGGGAGGGAGAACAAAATTCCTCATGCCCCAGCCGTCGCGAGAGACACTCCGGGCGTCTGGGATCGCGAGATGATCTCCGGCCACCGTAAGCTCGGGCCTGCGGATGGCAAGCACGCATGACCAGAACCAGACCCGAGTATACGGCGCGTCGCGGTCCACGCACACCTCAAGGAGCTATCAGACCACCACAAATGAGGCCCATATGAATATAATGTTACATAGTTAACGCGGCGAAGATTCTGCCATAGTGCGGCTAAAGATTTAGTATTTGTTATTAAGGAATTCTCACGAGATCTTCAACTTTTACAGAGTATTATTTGCCAAAAAATACTTAAACATGTTAACATACAAAATGCTTATGCCTCTTTATATAAACTTAATATTCAAGTCTTTTGATGCATACGATGTGATAGTACACCACATTTTGTAATTCAACCCCAGAGGGCAGCAAAGGTATTAAAGTTTGTATCAATGTGTTTCAAATCTACTTGAAACTCGGTATTAACGTCCATCTGCGTAATTAATGAGGTACGAGTTCTAGTTTCTGCAGTTCATCCGATTACAAATTAAAAGGGGTTAAATATTTGCAGGAAACCCTTTTATTCCAGTTTGACATATTAGGTGCCAGACTTTTGTATGATTAATTAATATACTTTCATAATTCATGGAATTCTCTGATCCATTTACATGATAATGATATCTTCAAAATTGTACAGTTGTTGCCAATAATGTTATAAGTAAAAAGTGGTTGTCGGATTAATAAAATATGTAAACCGAATGGACATGATTTAGTATACCAAACATTACATAATCATAAAATTTAACTAATATTAAATATGATAAAAACATCGCTAAAACTAAACTTTGAAATAAGTTATTATATAATATAATGTACCTCTATATTTATACTTTTATATGTAACAAGTAGGTATTCTAAAGTAATTTAATTTTCAGGAAGCGGACATTGCCATCGCTCCACTGACTGTGACTTTAGAACGCGAAGCAGTCATTGATTTTAGCAGGCCTTTCCTGTCTTTCGATCTTAAACCTACTAAGAATACGGTGAACTCTACCAGTGCTATATTTAGCTTCCTTCAACCACTGTCCATGGAAATATGGGTAAGGAAAATTGACTGAGGACTATCTCAATATCAAGGACGTAAGACTAAAGCCAAGAATACGCTAGGAGACAAATGTGCCACGACATGTATCAGCGACATATCGTGCGACTTCGCGAAACTTCGCCTGAAATATCTGGCGACATCGCGCTACTTAAATCCGTAGCAACAAGAGGCAAAGTAGTGCGACTTCGCGGAACTTCGCCGGACATATCTAGCGACATCGCGAAGTTTTATTTCACTAGGCAGTCGCATGTCGCGCGATGTTGCCAAACAACGTTATCGTGTCTGGCAACGTCGCGCTACTTCACTCGATGTAGTTGGCGATACGTGTCGCGCGATGTTACCAGATAAGTCGACCGAAGTCTGGCAACGTCGTGCTACTCCACCCAACGTCCCTGGCGACACGTGTTGCACGATATTTCTCCCCTAGTGTGTACTTGGCTTAATGAAATGAAGATACCAATCGACATAATTTAATTCGCTTCCAGATCTCGATCCTCTGCAGCCTATTCGCCGTAAGCGTGGTTTTATTCATCGTTTCTCGGTTTTCGCCTTATGAGTGGCGTGTTGTCTCTTTCACTGATTCTCACTCTGATCATTCGGATGTATCTACTACAAAGGTAACGTAAAAAATATTAATGATAAGTAACATTAACGTAATAGAATGAACAAACGTTTGTTGTAACTTGCACATAATATTCCAGACTACCGTGGTGAACGAATTTAGCTTTTGGAATTCTATGTGGTTCTCGCTCGGCTCCTTTATGCAGCAAGGCAGCGACATTAACCCCAGGTCAGTGCATATTTTAATATTTGATTGTCTAAAGTAATCACTACGTATGCTGATATTTATGTTTTATACTTTATAAAAACTTGTGAAAAAAATTAATTAATAATAAATTAATGAATATTCAACACATTTTAGAATAATCCGCTGTAATTTATAACAAATACTAATGAAATGAGTATTTTAGGTCCATATCGGGAAGAATTGTGGGCTGCGTGTGGTGGTTCTTCGCATTAATCGTAATTTCGTCATACACAGCAAACCTAGCTTCATATCTGACTCTATCTCGTATTGCGGAACCAGGTGCTTCTTATACTAAACTAGCTACGTGCCCCGAGGTAACTCTATTACTGTTCTACAAACTACTATTTAAATCTTGAGAGCAAATGCAGCATTTTATAAGAGTGAAGTGTGGAACGCAGATATTTTTAACTGTTAATATATTTATTTAACGAAGGGATAATAAAAATCGTTCAATGTTTCAGGATACTATTGACGTTCCGAAAGTTATACCAACAACTGAATCTCCTGAAAAGGTTACGGACGAGCATGGTTGGCTTGCCTTCATTATGGATCGCCCAACTGCGGCACCTGAAGATAAACCATGCGAAATGGTAGTTACTTTGACACATTCTGGATACAAGGACTTTGCTGTTGGTATCCCTAAGGGATCCCAGCTGCGGTAAGCATTTTAATAATTATTTAACTTATGCGACACTTATTCCAGTGCGAAATGTGCTCGCGATGTTTATATAGCGAATGATTTGCGAATTATTCCTTCTTGAGTTCTTCAAAGCGCTTAAGAGTTTTTTCATTTGAGAGTATTTTATAGGGACGGCGTAAATATGGCATTGCAATCCCTGAAAGAGGAAGGTGAGATTTCGAGGCTGGTGCGCAAATGGTTTACCAAATCTGAGTGCGACCATTCTGACAATGTAAGTTAACTATTTTTATCCACTTTTCGTTTTTCGAAATACGATTTCTTATTTTCTATATTTATTCAAGTATGTACGAAATGTACAATATAAACTGTAAATTTTTCAAAATTATTTTAAGGGTGATAGTAAATGGTAGGTTTTCTTTGTACTAACTGCCAAATATATTTTCAGGACAAGGGATCCGAGCTGACTTTGAGCCAAGTGGCTGGCTTATTCTACGTTTTGGTTGGAGGTCTGTCTCTAGCTATGGGTGTTGCCTTAATTGAGTTTTGCCGACATGGTCGCTCAGAGGCTGCTCGTGCCAATGTACCGCTACGCGATGCTCTACGCGCTAAGGCTCATCTGGGCAACACTGAACGTAAGGGACAATCTCAACGTGCAGCGCAACGTGATAATGAACGCCTTGGATGGAACGGAGGAGCTTTCGGAAGCGTAAGTATTTATTAGGTTTCTTTTGTACTTGTCAGTTTTCTAAAGGCTCGTGTGCACGACACTGCTGTACCAGTCATGCATCTGTGCACCAATCATGTGCATGTCGTGTACACGAGCCGTTATGTTTCAACCACAAAATTTGCAACAAGGTTCCATACATGACTGACCTGTAAATTCTCCCTTTAGCAGTACTATAGCCCGGCCAACCAAATCGGCCAGGAGGAGACGGCGCTACATTCCAGCTTCACACAAGTCTGATCCGCAGCCCGGGAGGCGACGACTATTCGTCGGCCATCCCACTCCCGGAAGATGTCAAGTTCAGTCGAGCTCTACCAATTGTAAACAACCTGGCTATCTCTTTGAAAACCGATTACCTGCATTGACCACGGACCTAATGGCTTTTGCCCCTGTACTGTACCGGATTCGAAAAATGCTAAATGAATTGGCTTTTACTGAACTGACCACTACCGATTTAATGAAATGATTGGAAAACCCCCAATAGGGTGATGATTATGTAAATAAATTTAGATAAAACTTCTGAAGTAAATTTAAATACTTTAACACGTATATTTTCTCTACGTTTTAAAGTATAAGCTGAATGAACGACACTAATCTATATTTTCATTTTCATTTCATTCTTAATATTAGGAAAAAGACTTGTAAGGAAGAAAAACGTTGGATCTCTTTTTATGTGTGTTTTATTAGATTGTAACGTGTCGTATGTTTAAGTGAATTTTACGCCATCGTTGTTCACTGATCTAAGGCCGCAACGCGATATGTGTGATTCCTTAGGGAGAATTTAAAGTAATTTAAACGACATTTTTATCTAACTAACGCATATACACATATAAATATTACCCCTTCCCCACCCCAATATATATAACGTAAAATTTTACTTAAACATCATTAATTATGAATTATGTTGGCAATTTAGTTATTTAAAAAAGCCTGGCGTGTTTTACAAAGTAGATGAATATCAGGGTCTTATAATTACGTGTTTAGTAAGTAAAACTTTTTTAATTAGGTGACATAATTTAAAATCCTGTAATTCTAAAAGTTATACCAGGTAGTTAGATAAAGATAAACGTTAATCATGGCTAAGTTACCGCTTTAAGGGCGCGACGCCGGTGGTACTCCAGTTGTTGAAATTAACGACACTGTTTGACTGCAGAGCGTACTAAATATTCGCAAGTTACGACGATACATTTTTAATTGTCATGGGATCAGTACACACAATGCTGTTAAAAAACGGATTGTTACTATCCCAACCTATTATTTCTGTACACAAAATCTCACACTGGCAAACATGTCCGTGTAATTTAATATTATTGATCGTCAGTAAAACACTTATTTTACTAAAAGGATAAACAGATGGGTAAAAAGAGAAGACGGACTGATAAAACTATCTTTATAATTCTATTGACTAAACCGTAAAATCCTTTAGGGCAGGTCAATTTTACTTGCATAGGTATAACGATATGCCAGGGATGAACAACGTTTACAGATATTGCTAACTATACTGGGGCATATATATAAGTTGACTGTTAATTGTGTCCATCTCTGGGAGTCTTGCATTATTGATGTATAACAAGCATTAGCAGTTAGATATTTAGCAGTTACAGTGATCACATGAAGACGTTGGCATACATAATGATCCTATTACACGGTAACCGCTTTTGTGTCATTCGTGTTCGGTATGTTTTGTGCAATACATTCATAATCCAATTTTCAAGTGTTTACTGTAACTTTATATTTTAGAATTATACTATAAGCACATGTAACCATAGATTTAAAATCAATATAAAATAAATAAATGTATCAGAACTTCGAAATAAAATGTAGTTTCAATATTGACGTCTATATCACATACAGTTTTTATTAAGATTTACCTTAATTATTATAATCCATTTAATAAAAAGTAGGCTAATTTACTGTGTCTTAATGTATAATTGAGTAGATGAAAGCACATCACAATCTGATTCCTACATACAAATCAGTTATTTTATGTATTTTATTTATAACTTTATTAACTATAAATGATTTACTTCTTTAGTCCATAAATTATTACTTACTTAACAACCAATTGATCAGTTAACTATTGACTTCATTTTATATCTATTTATATATTAATATACATTTTATAGTAAATGTTGTTACCTATAAATTAAGATGAATAAATTACTAATGCCAAAGGCACTATAAAATCATATCAAAATTATAAGTGACAGTCAAACTATTAGGAAACCATGATTACAACTCTTGGTTTGTTTTTATAATGAAACTTAAGCAAAATATTATTTGCTATGTAGCTTGTTAAATTAATTACGCTTCCGTCCTAAAGCTATTTTGATAATTTAGAAGTACCGTTTAGCTGATAACTAAGCTTGGGCTCGAATTATTTTTTAATTTATCTTTCGGCACCTGCCAAATTCTAGTTTTTAAAATTGTGCCAAAAGTATCAGCAGTGGAAGGGGATTGGATTTAAAGGGAAAAAAATAAAATTGATTCTAATACTATAAAACAAATTATATAAAATCTGCGGTGAAATCCGTCCGTCTGGTGAAAGGCTGAACTTTACTACGGAAGCGATGTACGGCGCGTAATTTAAATTGAATATTATTGACAGAAATCCATTATATTTGGCCACCAATATTAATTTTGCACGTTAACTGTACTGAGCCAGTCAGACGTCACTCAAATTCATTTGCAATGAACTAAATTACAACAACATTTGCAGCCACTTTTTTGTAGATACTATAATGCCATTTTTTACATAATTGCATCTTTATACATATACTATTCCTAATATTTATATTAAAGAATTCTTCAAATGACTGATTTACATAATCGTTTCACGGACGTAGTCTAGATTTAAGGACGTATTTCAATGATATTATTATATTAATCATTAATCATAAATGTAATCGATTATCTAATTAATTTTGAACCTGCGAGGAATCAAACAGATACTAGTAATGTTAAAGACTTACCGCCGGTTACACATACTCTTGAATGCTCACTTACTATCACAAAAACTATGGAAATACATGAATTAACAAAATTAAGTATTTGCCAGTTATAATCAGAAATAGAAACTTATTCCAGAGGGGTGAAACTGGCGCTAGAGGGAGACTATACCTCACAACACCTCGTTGCGATGACGCAAAAAAAAATGCATTGTACGACGACATTGCATCGGAAATTTTTGGGTTGGGTCGTCGCAACGCGGTGTTGTGTCCTCACGTTAAGGTTCTTGTAATCTGTAGTATGATGTCACGATTGGATAATTAAACCTACAGTTTGGCTATGTGTCTATAGCTACTTGCCTAAATCCCATCAGTATACCGACGTTACGAAAACAGTTAAATCACCTACAACTGTACTTTATGATGACACAGCATAGGTAGCCTTTTAATACCTAAGCATGAATTTAGGTACCTATTACCACATGTTTACACAATATTGTCGTAACACTACTACTTGTATGCTATGTGATGAATATCTATGTATATGTTTGTTATAATAAACCATAATAAAGTAATCGAAAAAATACAAAATTCGTGTTTCATTTTAATGTCCCGAATTAGGTACCCCAGTAATTACACATACATAGCTAAGCACACTTTTTACAAAGAAAACTGACTGGAGCTACTATTTCACGCGGACGAAGACAATATGGGCAGAAGCTAATAAAATATATTGTTCAAAATATTTTAATGAGATGGCCCAATTTACTTACACTTTTTCATTAAATCGACTTGTGACGAACAATGAATTAAAATCTAAAAAAATTAATTACACTTAACACACACATATAATTATTGTACCTCTAGCATCATGGAACTTGGTAATTATATGTCTAGATGACCATAGGTACAATATGATGGTACCATTCATGGTACAGTCAGCATCAAAAGTTGATTACCACATTGAGATTTTGTGATAGAACTAAGAGGAACTGTATGTGATAGAACTGCCTGCTAGTAAATGTAGCGAAGTTACGTTCATTAGAGATGATGACCACATTGACTGCCTCGTTGGCCGAGCGTTCGCAAGTACGACTGCCGGGCAAGGGGTCTCGGGTTCGATTCCCGGGTCGGGCACGGAGCACAGGGTCTGGAATTGTGCACGGTATATGGCAATAGGGTCACCCCCATTACATGGACCTCATAAATAGTGAAGAGTGGGTGTTACATTGTACAGTGGCATAATGGGCACCTCTGCCTACCCCTTCGAGGATAAAAGGCGTGATATTATGATGTTATGTAGAAATGGACCTACATTTAGCCAAACCTGTAATCCCCCAGAATGTACCGGCATTTTCCAAGAGATGGAAAGCAGCCCTAGCATCTCAATCCATTACAGACCGAATCCCATTCACAGCATGGAACGCCATTACAAGCTTAGCGAGTGTGTTTAATTTGGCTATAGCGGGCAAGCCCGATATGAGGGCAGAGATAGTTGACAGATTGCTTGGAATACCCAAAACAGGTCCAGAGAGTGCTATTCGAGCTCATATAAAACTGGTTTGGGAGTACTCATCTCTGAAAGCTGTCCAAAATAGAGATATGAACTTTTTTTATAAAGTCGCACTGCTGGGCGCTGGAGATACCTGCCGTGCTAGATCAAGCCGTATCTCTCAACGAGAAACTGGAAGGCGCCAAAAACGAGGACCCCAAGCTGCCGTATAGCAGAGTAAGAGATCTCAACAGTCACCTGAGCTTAAACCAAGTCCAATTCCCCGATTTCTACTACGTCACTATCATGTACGCAAAGTCAAACAAGCTTGTAGGGAACAATAACTCTCCCCTACAAGCTTCCAAGAGCAAGAGAATTTCCTAATGTCATTATCCTACCAGTCCTGTCACAGTACCTGTCACACAGTGATGGTTGACAAATACATTCGGAGGATGACATTTGCGGGATTAGGCGAGCTATTCGAGTAGGTCAGGCAGAAATTGGCAAGACTGGGATATCCTATGCCACCATCAGAAAAAAGGGGAACCCGGCAGGTCGACTCCGAAGAGGACCAAGACGAAGAGCCCCCGAGCACGTGTGAGATAAATATCTACTACACAAAAGGACAAAAAGAAGCATCCAGTTATGTGCATAAGTATAAGAATAACCTATAAGAAAAAAAAATGATAATGAGAATATGATGACAAAAAGTGTATTATTATTATTATATTAGTATATTCATTTCTTTTTCGAAGACATGAACATAATAAAAATAAAGTTTTCAACTATCTCATGTGATGATGCATGATGAGTCCGGCTGGAGATGGGGCACACCTGTCCGTGTGGAAGAAATTTGGGAGACGACTGAACAAGATCTTTTCGTAATACGAGGCAGTATTTAATTTAGCCATATTCAGTCAAAAACGTATACTACATGAGAACATTGCAGCTGATCTAACACTTTGTAGAAGACTAGCTATTCTCGACTATAACGAGACAATGAGGCGTTGGTCAGACACCATGACTAACGTGTGGTATATGGGTATTGCTTTTCACGATATTAGGACACATGTTTACGAGAAGATAAAATCGTAACATTAAATGATAATTAGAAGACTCTGCAGCTCCACCGCTGCCACCCAAAGATCCAAATTCAACTGGCCTTAAGCCTACAAGACTCTCAACCATAGCCACAAAACCACGAAATGAGCCAATGTTTTCGGATATCGATATGATGGGGTTTCCAGGTGTGGCACCTTACGGCAGGACTAATGAGTTCACCGTAACTGCAGAGGGGTTTATTCTATTATGCGAGAAGGAGTACGATATTATCGCTACTCATCAGCCATACTTTGAAAAAAGCGTATCAAAGTCAGCTTAGGTTATGAGCTTATATGCTCAACTGATTACCCTAAAACAGGAAGAAGGAGATTCGACATACGATGAAGACTCCTTAGAGAGACTCCAAGACAGATCTTATATGGAAACCACCAGCTCCCTGCACCTATCGAGGCTTACGTCAAAGCCCTTGGCCATGTAGTTGACAGTACCTCTGTCAGATATAAGCTGGGGATGCCGGCGTGGCCTAACGGAACAGGTGATTCTGGTCGAGTAGGGCCTCACACGCACTGGATATACATGGCAATGCCAAGTCCTTTCATGTGTAAACAGAGGTTTCAGGAAGATCTTCGCGTAACAGTGACAGCAGGCGAACGAGAGTGGAATTTGCCGCCTTATCTATCTTATCTTCCAGCAGATGAAGGAGCAGGCACACCAACTCGCAATTGTCTTGGTTGGGCGCGACTTGCCATTCCTTGAGAGTGTGAACATTATGGAGGATGCGTTCCCGACGAAGCTTCCATGTATCCAATATAACACCAACTTATACGAGAAAGTCTCTATGACTTTGAATAGAACTGAGGAAAAGATTAAAATCATTCCTCAGACTAAGAAGAGCGTAGATCCGAGCTCTTGAATTGGTTTGTTGGACACATCGAGCCAGTAGTCCAGGCCACATCTAGTAATGTGTTTTATTCTGAGAGCAGGATTCCCAGGTGGTAGCTGCTACAGAAATTGACGCACAAGTCCTTGCATCATTGATGCTATCTATCCTACAGAGTTAGGAAGGACAAGATTGGCGCTATCAGACCATACTGTGTATACTCATTTGGTGGGTATGCAAATGTACCGGATACTTGGCACAGCTCCCGGAATACCATTATCAACTACGGGAGAGCCGATCGATGGAATGTGATGGAGTACACTGCTCTATTTACGGACAAGTCAGAATATCGCCCTGTATGGCTTAAGAGACATGTCAAGTGACCCAACCGGACGGAGAGTCGCGCCCCGAACTCGTAA